CCCCGGAATTCTAAGCCCTGGAGCCTCAAAAGTCCCAGTCTCAGAAGTCTCAATCTCTGGATTAGTTATTGGAGGGGGAGGGAGAGGTATGAGAGCTAGTCTTTGTGTATCCGCTAGTCTCGAAAGCGGTAACAGCCTGTACAGGAGAAGTTCATGACTCTAGTCTGCCCAAAGGTAGTTAAGATAAAATTTGTTTCTGCATAATCGGGCGAAGCATGATTGCTTAATAAGTATTGTCGCTGAACCATGTCGGGCCCCCGAGAACAATTCCTATTGGGTGATTGACTCGATCGGCTCGGTGGCAATAACCGGCTCGGTGGCAGTCCTTGGAGAAAAGCCACCACACCTCCAATGTTTTACTCCAAAGAGGTGAGTGGTGGGCTGCAGTGGAATGGAGGCACATGAAAATTGTGTACTTCCAGCCTCAGCTGAATGGGATGTACTGCCTATTTTCGACTCGAATTGGCGGACTTTGAGACCTACTTGAATACGTTGGGGAAGACTCCTTCCGCATTCCTCCTTCGATTATGCAGAGAATTTGATTAAAATATTGTACAATGTTGCACATACTTATGTTGTGTTAAGATATCAAAATATGTTCTTATCATTTTCATAAAACAATATATGTATATATATATTATCATTGCGGAGATGCTTTAACGCATGGTCTCCAACTTAGGGATCCAGAAGATTGAACCTCCGCGGCGATTTAGAAGAGTGGGCTCTTTGGCTCGGCTTGATGCTAGCGAATACCGGGTCAAGAAGTACTGCGTCTGCCCCCAGGGTGAGTCTATTGCGGACCTCATCTGGATGTTGGTGGTCGCGGATATGAGGGATGATGGGTCGAAGATATCGGAACAACGTTGGATCATGATAAGATAGCGTTTTCTCTCTGGCCCCCCTCCCCCTGAAAAGTACACACCCCTCTCTCCCCCAGGAATGCGGAAATTTCCAGATCGCGTTGAATACTTAAAAAGCTCAACGCAGACCTTCTGATGGCGACAATTAAGTCGGAAACTTGGTGCCCTTCAACTGCGGACGCGAAAACAGCCACCGAATGAGGTTACGGAGCAGTTGGCTGACCTAATGACTTGAGCGTGCGACGCTGCCATGCCCCGGGCGAGGCAGTTCATCAAGGAGGCATACTGGTGGACGGGAAAGATCGCTAATTTGCGGCGCTCTTCCGTCCAGGTCAGACGTAAGTTCTAACGAGTCTGCCGCCGAGAGGATGACGCCCGCGTCGAGATAGGACATCAAGAACTCCGCAATGCTAAAGCAGATCGCTATCAAGAAGGAGAGAGCCTAGGAGAGAGCTCCTCCAGAGTTTGGAGGGACTTATGGGGGCGTCCGTATAAAATTGTCTTCGACAAACTTAAACATGTGATACCTCCGATAACGGAGATCATTGAATCCCCTTGATCCAAAGTTTCTGAGGAGGTAATTAATACTCTATTCCCCACCAGGGAAGTTAAAGTGACTTCCTATAATGGCCCATCACAGGGGTGAGCCGAGGAATTCTGGGTCACGGCCCAGGAGATAAAGGTAGCAGCTAGGCTCGGTGGCGAAAGCGCCCGGGTCTGATGGAGTCTCCGACAGATTTGATCCCTTGCTATGGAAAAGCTTGGTCCTTGCGTTCAGGCAGTCCTGTCTCTTTGAGGGCGAGCCGATTCCCCTTCCGATGGAAAAAGACCAATTTGCTTCTCTTACGAAAAGGAGAGAAACCAGCAGATTTTCCATATCTGATCTGTTTCAACGGGATGGAAAAACTGTTCGAGAAAATTATAGCTTCCCGGATCGTCCAGCAGCTGTCCCGAGGTTATCCTCCTTGCATGAGGACCAATCGCTGAGATGAAGCACGAGACGGGGCGACAGGATCCATCAGTGGTAAATGTTCGCTCTTATTACAATAGATGATGATAAAGATAGGCATTTTGTTGTTAATTGTATCAGTATTATGAGTACTAAGAATAATA